TTGCCCGTTGACTGTCCATACTGTGACAAGAAACTTATATTCAATGTTGAAGATTCTCTTTGACAAGGTAAGTTACTTGAAAAACACTTTTTTTTTTTTGTAAAATTTGCTCTTCATAATTAATTAAGGTAGCACTTTAGCAAAGATCAGAAGCGTAAATTGGTAACTTTTGATTTTGTTGGAACAAAGGTTTTCTTGGTGACAGACAAAAAACAGTATTGTTAGTATTGTTAGTATCTTCATCTTCATCTAATATGCAAAGTTTTTTTTTAATCTTAATCTCTGGACTCTTAACCCAAAAATGAGTATGAATATTGAATTCAAAATCATCTAAAAAAATAATAATTTTAAACTTACTGGGATCACTAAACATCAACACAATTTATATTCAAATCTATATACATATATACATATACATATACATATATAAATATATATACATATATATATATATATATATATATATATATATATATATATATATATATATATATATATATATATATATATATATATATATATTATATATATATATATATATATATATATATATATATATATATATATATATATATATATATATATATGTATATATATATATATATATATATATATATATATATATATATATATATATATATATATATATTTATATATGTATATATATTTATATATGTATATATATAGCATTGTTTAATTAAAGTAAAGAAAAACAACAATTTATGGAACTTAAAGTTTCATGCTATATTGACTTTCATCAGCCATAAAGTGAAAAAATAACTAATAAAGTGGAACACAAATATATATCCTTTTACTTTTACCTTCCTAAACGACAGCATCAACTGCAAGAAATGTTATAATTGAAGTGAAATTATATTTTTACTTCTTTTTTAAAATCAATCTTCTTACTAAAAGCCTATTTTAAAATTAGATTTTATGAAATACTTTTTGAAAAGACTTAATTAAGTGAGGAAACTTTGCATAAACTAAAAATTCTTACCAGGAAGAAAATTAAATTCAAAACTAGAAGTAAGTATGGAAAAAAACTTGCCTTCTGGAATATCACTACATAAATATTCAGAATCAATATTCATACAATCATTACACATATCCTTCGTTCCTATTTCAAGGCATATTTTCAGCAGATCAAACTCCTGCCAACTCATTTCTGGTGTTGCCCATATACTTGTACAATAACGTATAGGCTTTTTCCCTTTTGGAGGCCAGTAGACTATCTTTTGTTTTCCATCAACCCAATGCAATGGAACCATGCATTTTTTTGTCAAACCTTCTTTATTTATGGTCACAACAGAATACAGTCTTCTTATGGGACTAAAAAAATAAACAAAATATATTTCATGTTTTAACAAACAGGTACATAAAATTACTAAACACTGGTATGAATGTGGGTAGCAACTTTAAATAAAGATAAAACTTAAAAAAAGATAAACAATGGCAACTTTATCGAGTCTGGTATGATTTGCTCACTCATACTTACAAGTAAAATAAAAAATTAAAATATATTTTCTGTGCTAAATCTAATACTACTACAAATATTTTCACGTCTAATAAATCAACTCATGTACCAATTCAGAAATAACAAAACCATCTTCAACTTTCATACAACAACATCTCCGTAAAAGATTGCCTCTATGTTTAATGCAAACAACAGGTTGAACGCTATTTCTAAGAAAGTATATTCCAATATCTTTTGATGAGAGAAAATGAGTAAAAGAATTTCCCAAACATTGTTTACGATACGATAGGCCATGAAACTGATCTCCATCCATTTGTTTTATTAAGAAAACTACAGTATCTTCAGTTAAGAAGCAATTATCTTTTTTAGATGTATTTATTTTACTAGTCAACTTCTGTAATGGAACTACATCATCAATTTCATCTAATCTCTTTGAAATCTGAACCAATGGATTGTGTTTGCTACGCACTAATTTCTAATTTCTAGGAGGTAGTTCTTAAACTTAAAAGATGATATAATATCAAGCGAAACATTATAGAACAAAACATTGTCACATAAATGCAAGAGGCTATGAACATTGTACACACAAAACCCAAATCTCCTGGGAATTAACTACAAAGTAACTTTAAAGTTGACGAGCACTTT